TTTAAATAATTTAAATCCTTCTAGCTATATGTTCCATTTGTGGGTTTCATCCCACCAAGTTTTTGTAATGGCAGCAATATGGTATCTGCCCTCATTTACTTGAATTTCTAATTCATCCTGTTTATTCCTCATACTCTGTGCATTGGTGTATAGACATTTGAGTCCATTTTGATTGACCCTGTGTTTACTGTCTACATAACCTGTGTTATGCCTGACTGCTCCTATTTTCTTGCCACTTGTATGATTCATGCATATGGTATGGCACTCACTATGAAATGCTTGGCTTTGCTTGACAGCAGAGTGATAATCTTACCCGCACAAACATCTATGTTACATGCACTTTTAGAGTTTTAGATTGCTGGTTGTTGGGGGCAATAGGCTGACTCTGTAAACTGCTTAAAGGGGACTGTAAAGCACTGTGAAACCGTATCTAAATGCTATTGCTATTCATCTACTGCACTTACATTTGCATGCTTTATAACTGCTAGGTTGGCAGGAGCTGGAACAAGTGACAGGCGCTCACTCTATCTTGTGGCACTCAGATCTTGAAAGTTCTAGACCTTTAACGATCTAAGACTCAGAGTCCTAACCACTAAGCCACTGTATCCCTTAACTAGTATCAGGCAAAAGCCATATTGGATCAGTAAATCTCGATATACTTTCATCCACACACACACACAAAAACCTAAGGGAAGTAAAAATTACCTGCAACTATGTATGAAATTAAAAATCAAATCTTAAGATCAAGTTCAACATAATTCTAAGCTTTATCTCCTCCAATCACTAAATAACAATCTAAATATGCAAGATACTAATATACTAAAGGCTTAGAAATATTACTTACCATTGCAAGCTGATATTTGGATTTATAGCTACATATATCAAGAACGCTCCAAAAATCAAAAGGTACGTTCCATAATATATAGCATTTTCAATTAATGCTGTTTTAATCTTCCCGGTAATGGAAAAACCTCCTGATCTAGCATAGGACTGCATAAAGGGTAACAGAATCCTAGGAATGAAGAGCAAAATGAATATAGCAAGAGTTTCATCTTTTTTCATTGATCAAAAGTAAGTACTTGGCACTTATGCACATACAAATAGCCCTACATTTTAGAAAAACTGGCAGCTATATTTCTGAAACATCTTATTCTAAGAGTCAAAGAATAAATCAAAAGGAAGGAAACCGTCTTTTCACAGAACTGATTTCAGAACCATAGCACAGGCATGTTATTATGTTTCTCTGAAAATAAGACAAGGTCTTATTTTCTTTTCATCCCAGAAATAAGCGCTTGGCCTTATTTTTGGGGAGGTCTTATTATTTTTGAGGTGAAGGAGGCCCCTTAATCTTGGCCCACGGCCCGTGGATCAGCTGATCCAGAGAGGGCCGGAAGTTCTGTCTCTGTTTCTGGCACACTCTTGCCAGCCCTAGCACTCTTGCCACTCTTTTTGCAGCCGCCCTAAGAGAAAGGATGCAGTAGCTAGGATTTACGGGAGTAGCCTCTCTGAGGCCATTCTGCATGGATGGCAGGTGTTCCCTCCTTCAACCCCAGGAAATGGCGGGGACCGGCTGCGCATGTGCATAAATATTCTAGGAGAGGGCTTATTTTTGGGGGAGGGCTTATTTTAGCACATGCTCTCAAAAGCCCGATTTGGCATATTATCCAGGGAGGTCTTATTTTGGGGGAAACGGTGCAAGTAAATCTATCATTGGCAGCAGGTACCAAAATCTGCGACAAAAATGTATATGGAACTAACTCAGTGAACATAGCAGCTACTTTATAGCAAAGCCAAGAACTTCCTCAATTTAGCTTCTCTGATGTCTTAAATAAGATTATTTTACTTGGCTAGAACAGAGAGAAGAACTATCTTAAAACCTACACCATTTAATGTAAAGACGTTTGATACTTTCTGGTGGGCAAACCTGTCTTTCAATTAAAATGTCCCAAAGTTTTCATGTTAATGATAAACATTCAAATGAAATGGATAAACTGTTGTTCCTTTTTACTTTAGGCTGTTTGAAGCATTCCAGAAATTTCCACAATACTTACCATGTTAAAAACTGTGATGTCCAGTATACAACACGCCAAAAAATGGGCATAATTCTATCAGGGATATAACTCCATGGTTTGATACATTTGTGTTTACTATAAAGACAATCAGAGTTAGCATTTTTAACATATGCATAATATGTTATGGGACTACATGAATTATAGAGTAATAAAATAGAGCTCATCAAGTTATTCAGCATCATAGGATCATACAGGCAAATTAAATTGATTACTCAAATAAAAAGGCTCAGAATAGGAAGTCATTCAATCCTCAGATCCAAATTGAAATGTTTACCATTCGAGCTACTAATTACAGTATAAATTGGATTATTCAGCCAAAATAATAGTAACAACATGACTCATAAAAAGCATCACCAATGAAGTTGTGCAATACAAACTGGCTTCAATGTTGTGCCCTTTGGCTTAGAATTATGATTGCTTCTCTTTATACTCCCACCCGTCTCATTGTGAATGAGACTGCTGATGTTTCTGTGGTTAAGTGAGACATTTGTTAAGTGAGTTTTGCCCCATTTTACAATCTTTCTTGCCTTGGTTGTTAGTGAATCACTGCAGTTGATAAAATTAGTAACCCGGTTATTAAGTGAACCTGGCTTCTCCACTAACTTTGCTTCTCAGAAGGTCACAGAAGGAGATCACATGACCTTGGGACACAGCAACAGTCATAAATATGAACCAGTTGCTAAGCATCTGAATTTTGATCACATGATCATGGGAAGATGCTGCAAAGGTCATAATTGTGAAAACTGGTCATGTTATTTTTTTAGTGTCGTAACTTTGAACGGTCACTAAATGAAATGTTGCAAGTCAAGGACTACCTGTACTATGTTATGTAATAATAAAAAACCACATTTCAATATCTTTATGCCAAATTACACCATCTTTAATTATAGTTTTCTTGATATCTCACTGAGGATTTCACATTCGCATGACATTTTCCTCATTTTGGTTAAAAGCCCTGCCAATGTTGCCCTGCCAATGTTACAAGGTTGTCAAGATGTTTAGATCAAAAAAGAAATTATTTTTTAGATGCCTTGGTACCTCTGAGTAGGATTAGTGTCTTGATTTTGCACTGCTGATCCACTGTTGGTGGATGACTCATTTATATCAAGTTTACACCGATTGTATATAGTCTAGAAAACAAAAAGTCAGCAATTGGACAAAAGTAAAATAAGAGTTATAAAGGCATTGGCATACTATATTCCTCAAATAAATCAGCTTCCCAAACTAGAAAGCCCCAATTTTGCAATGTTGATGTGTGCCAATCATCCTTTCCTTTTCAGCAGCTCATTGAGAAATGTACGCAATGAGAGAATATATCTTTACTGTATGTTTGTTGATTTCAAGAAAATGTATAATAAAGCAAATAGGCACAAATTTTTGAATAAGCGCATTTTACATTAGATATCTGATGTAATTCTTGAAAATAAATTATTACAATAAAATAACAGAAAATCCTTATCTGCTAATTCTATGGAAACCCTATAATCAAATTTTATTAAAATGGAGAAAATAAATATGAAAATTCTTACCGTAGTGACATCTAAGGGCAGTATAAAGACTATGAGAAAACAAAGGTACCAAGCTAATAGTGTTGCAACAATCACAAGTTTGTGCTGCTTTTTAAAGTCACCATATCGATGTAGTATGATTAATGCCAAAAAGAAGACGACAACTATCTCAATGCCCAAAGCTGCACCACTCATTATTGTTCACTGATTCCAACCAGCATGTATTGGTTCGTAAGAGGATTATATCTGTAATAAACAGCAAAAAACAGTGATTTAAATAGAATAGAATATGGCTTGCAATAAACATTTAATTCATTAATATTTGGCTGAAAAGGTTTTTTAAAAATCCATTTAACTTGTCTACCACATTGGACTCTACTCCATGCCATCGGACGTCAGTGTATCTTAATATCTAGAGAACAAAAGCACTGATTGAAATGCTACGTCAGTTCCTGATTAACCTCTGTCCCTCTTCTACAAATGGGTATTGGTCCTGCTGCCTGAGGTTGGTGGGAGTACAGTAACAGTGTAGTAAGAACTGGGGAAACTTGTGGCTGCTTTAGAGAACCTAAGAGAAGAATGTTAACATCACAGACCTTTTAAATGATTGAGTTTCTGTCCATTTTGTCTCCCTGCTCCTCCGAGCCAGTTTAGATCGATTGCTTTTCTTTCTTGTTTTTTTTAAGCTACTGTTTAATTGATTTGTGGTATGACCTTTTTGGATATTATGTCAGCCCTTTTGAGTCATACTATGGCAGAAAGATAGAATATATTTTAAAGAATAAATAAGATCTGGAATGACTAACTGTTAATTTTACCTTCATTATTTCATTTGTCAACTCTTATTAAGTCATTGGAAATGAACTTCAAACCACGCATAAGTAGTACATATTGCTGTTATAACATATTGCTGTCGTAAACAGAGATGAGAAGAAAGATTAAAACCTGACAGCAAACCTTTACTCCAAACTTTATAGTAAAAAACTAATTTTTACTATACAGGTATTGAGAAAAAGCTAACTATCAAAAGCTTCCACCAGAATATCTTAATGTTTTAAAACGGTTGTTAAATCAGTTAAAGTAACCAGGGGGAAAAGGTTAAACGACCACTGGGCTAAAAAGCACAGTAACTTTTCAAAAGCAGTAGATAGATAAAACCTTCAAAAGATAAAACCTTAAGCAAACACTTCACACCACATCTATATACTTGCCTGCCCTACAATTTCTGTGAAAAACAAGATTAACATGTCAAAATTAGGCTGTAAATTTCAGTGAATTCAAGTTGGCAGTTTCAAGAGAGTATGCATTTCGTGTTCAATTCCCTTTGCACTTGCAAGCTTGCCTTTCAGAAATTGATCTGAAGTTTCCCTGCTTTGGAATGAACTTTTTAAAAGCAGCACTCCTAATTTTGTACAGGAATCAATCACCGTTCTAATTCAGGCACACTTATCCTTACAGTGTTACCTTGGTACTCAACTGCTTGGAAATCATTGGATTTGGTATTCAACACATTTTGATGTGAAAATTTTGTCCCAGTACTCATCTGTTTGTTACTCAACACACAAGTTAAAATTTGTCAGTGTCGGCTGCCTTGTGACTCGCTGTATTATTCCTTGTGGGAAAAAAATGTTTGGTACTCATCACTCCTCCTGGAACCAATTAATAATGAGTATTAAGGTACCACTACATTTTGTCCTTCATTCGATATATTCTTCATGTATGAATACATGTACATACACATACATACATACATGATTCCCACCACCTCACCTAAAATACAAAGTGCTGTAGTAATGAAGGCTAGCACTTCTATTCATCTAACACTGAAGGGCAGAAGTAAAAGTTTCTATCAACATGTGTGGGTAGCGCTCGCAACAGGTAATACCAGAATATATACATATCCAATGATAATTATTCACATTCATGTCCTACTTTTATTTAGCACACTTCTATATCCAGTGTAAGCATGCAAAAATAAATAAATAAATTGGAGCAGAGAATCCTATAGACCCAGAGCTGGCTGCCTGGTTTTAAAGACTTTAAAGCACTTATCCTGTTAGAGTAAATATTAAAAAAAACACCTTAGAATTGGGAAGCTTTCACTCCAATTCTACCATAGTCGTGCTGGTTACTCTACTTACTTTAAAAAAATGCCCTTCCCCCACTTGGTTCTTCCCAAATCTCCCGCATTGAGGAGTCATGGGAACTGTAGTCCAATACACCATAAGGGGCCGAGTCTGGAAAGGCCAGCCTGAGAGTGCCAAAGGGAAAAAAGCTAACAGGGCAGGAGGATGAGGAGGATGGGAACTGTAGTCCAATGTGGGCTGCGGGTGATGGGAACTGTAGTCCAGTACACAATAGGGGGCCAAGCTGGGGAAGTCCGGCCTGAGAGTGCCGAAGGGAAGAAAGTTAACAGGGCAGGAGGATGAGGATGATGGGAACTGTAGTCCAAAGTGGGCTGCGGGTGATGGGAACTGTAGTCCAACACACAAAAGAGAGCAGAGTCGGGGAAGGGTGGCCTGAGAGGCCGAAGGGAAGAAAACTAACAGGGCAGGAGGATGAGTATGATGGGAACTGTGGTCCAATGTGAGCTGCGGGTGATGGAAACTGTAGTCCAATACACAATAGGGGGCCGAGTCGGGGAAGGCCAGCCTGAGAGGGCCGAAGGGAAGAAAGCTAACCCATGACAGGAGGATGGGGCTCCCTGTGGACTTACCCGGCAGCGACGGGGCTGGCCACTCCCCGGTCGCATCCTCTGGCGTCCCCGCTCCTCTCCGGGTCACTGCTGGGCGCCGAGCCAAGGACTTCGGGCTTCCCGTTCAGAGAGACTCCTTCCCGAGGCTGCTCCCGGAGACTCCCGGCTGCCTACTCCTCAGGCGGAGGAAGTCCGGCTCTCCGCAGGAAGGAACCGAGCCGGCCACCAGCTGAACCGCAGACGCCTCTGACATTTCCGGCTCCGTTCTCTCTCCTCAGGCGCGCGAGGAAGCCTGGGAAAACATATCCACGTTGCCGAAACCTACCACAACTTCCGATGTCACTTCCTTCACAGAGGGGCTGTGATGAACTACCGTACCCAGGAGACATCGCGTTCTGCCAAGCGCTTGCGCAGGAGCAGGGTTTGTCGCTTCCCCCCACCCGTCACTTTACCGGTGGACTACAGTACCCAAGAGGCATTGCGAAAGCCAAGCTGCCTTTGTTTACCTAGCCCAGGGTTCTCCAAAGTTGGTCACTTGTAGACTTCAACTCCCAGAATTCCCCAGCCAGCATAGCCACAAGTCTTAAAGTGGTCAACTTTGGAGAACCCTGGGCTAGCCGATGGAAGATAGTTAAATAAGTTAGGGATGGGTTGCAGTGGGAGAAATCTAACAATGGGGTGGCGAAGGGTCTCGACACTGATTAACACATCAGAGAACGTTCATTGTGATTCCATCACTGATCAACTCTTTTTGAGTAAGTAAGTAATTACTAATCTCCGATCTATGCACTGTAAAGCGGTATATAAATCTAACTGCTATTGCTATGAAGTTTGCAATCCTAGACCCACCTGGGATTGGCCTGGTTTATTACAGATTAACAGAGTTGGAAGGGACTTTGTAGGTTACCCCGCCCCCCCACAAGCAGGAGACCCTACACCATTTTTGACAGATGGCAGTCCAGTCTTTTCTTGAAAGTCTCAAATGATGAAGCCCCCACAACTTCCGAAGGGAACTTCTGTTCCCTTGGTTGTTTTTTTCTCACTGTCAGAAAGTTCTTCTTTATTTCTAGGTTGAATCTCTCCTTAGTCAGTTTCCATCCATTATTCCTTGTCTGGCCTTCAGGTGCTTTGGAAAATAGATTATAAATAAAATAATAATAAAATAAAATAATAATAAAATAAAATTATAATATGAAATTAATATAAAATGAATGTATGATTCCGTTGACAAGTGTAACATTGCACTGTTGAGGTTTCATTGAAAGAGTTATTTTTCAACCTTGGCAACATCTTAAAAGTTTAAATTGGTCTTAAGGGCTTTACATAAAACACAGGACTTTTATTTGCAATTCATAGATGTTTTATAGACGCTGCATTTTATGGAAGTTACGCATTTATTACAAATACATTTCTCCCAAATCGCACTTTTCTGGAACTGAAACGAACAGAAGGAAACAATTGCTCTTAATAATAGTTTATTATTAATAATATAATATAATCGACATGTCTTCCAATAATCTATAGAAAGTGTCGCCATAGAGTACTGGACTGTAGATGAGAACGGTTTCTATTACAAAGAACTACAACTCCCGAGAACCACCGCGAGGTCTAGGAGAACGTTAGCCCGGGCGGATCGAGCGCGCGAGGTTCTTTTTTTTCCCCTGGGTTTCCGGAGCTGCGGCAAATTTAACTAGATCAACAAAGCTGAGCGAGGCAAGGCGCGGGAAAGCAAAAGCCCGAAGGATCGGAGATCCCAGTTCTTCATGCATCACCCCTTTGAGCATCATGCATAGGTAAAGATAAATGGATGCAGCTGGGAAGGCAGAAGAGAAGCCAAGATTAGGAGCGGCGGGATTGGCTTGCGCGCTTTGTTGCGGGTCGTTTGGTGTTTCAGCTAAAAATGCTGCAATTCACAAATCGGACATGCATTTTTCAGATTATAACTGCACGTCAAATTACTGCTTAGGAATCCCCAAGGAATAGACATAATAAATATTTGCACGATAAGTGCAAAGAAGTTAGGAAAGTTAGGGTACTGGTACTGGCGCATTCTCTATATGCAAAGTTGGCACAGGTGGGTAGGTGTGCTAGCACATGGAATTAAACAAGGCCAGAACAAACCTGTGCAGGTGTGCAAATGGACTGAACGTGGGTCTCTTTTTTGTCTTTGAATCCAGTGGAAAATATACATACTGATGGGAAATCGTCTCATAGTATTGCACCGTGTTGCTAAATTGTATTTGGAAATGCTGTATTTGAATGCAAAATTAGCTTATTCCAAAGTTTGTGTACAATGTACAATGATGCAACATGTCATTTAGATATTTTCAAGAGTTCCATTGAGTGCAACTACATCAACCTGTCCATTGATTTTCTTGTAAACAGGATAGGAGGATTTGTAGTTGCCATCCTCTGATCTGCCCTCTACATAGGTAGTCTTCAACTTACAGCCACGATTTTCTGTCGCTAAGCAAGATAGTTGTTAAGTGAATTTTGCCCCATTTTGTGACTTTTCCTGCCACT